AATATCCAGCCAATTATTTCCAGTTTAAGTTTAAACTTACTAGCTTTATGTAAGACTTCAACATCACTCTATATTCTTACTATGGTTCACTGCTCAAGTGACTGTATTGAAACTTCTCTACTATCTGCAAACCTCTTTGCCCATGCAGAAAATGAGAGAAGTGGTCAGAAATTGTAAAATAGAGAGTACAAGGAAACTCACAGAAGAAAGTTTTATTTTTCATAGCACAAAACCTGCACATTTATTAAAATCTTAAAACAGCTATTATCCTTCTCTCCAAGACAAAGGAGCTGTCTTTTGTGCCATCTAAGGTGAATCCCTCCACATTATTTATGCTCACTCTCTCCATTACACTATCTCCCCACTCACCCACTTCAATTTAGCTTTTTGTCCCATCTCTAAAAATAAATCTGGGTATGTCACCAATATCACTACATAGACTTTACAGTTCACGGTTTATTTGACCTTTTAATGATATTTGTTGTTGAACTGTGCAAACTTTTTTTGAAACACAGTTTTCTCTCAGCTTCCACAAGACAATACTTAGCTGTTATTTTCCTTCTATGTTTATTTTCAGGCTCATATTCCTCTTCTTAGCCTTTGTATGCTATAATTAATCAAGGCTTGTTTATAAACTTTACTGGCTTCTCAATCTATAATCTTTCTTGTGGCTTCAATTAGCACATATACTCAAGTAAGCAAAATAGAGATATATTCATCTGAGATATCTATGATCCAAAGCAGGATATTCAACTACTTGTTCTACAATATTCTTTAACTGTTTTAAAGGTACTTCAGATCACTGATGAACACATACCTCCCTCCTCTCTCTCTCTCTCACACATACACACACACATGCATACACACACACACACACACACACACACACACACACACACACACAACTTGGCCTCCACCCCAAATATAGTCCTCTATAAAGATCCTCTGTTTTCAAGAATGACACGTCCAAGCATCAAGTTGTAGAAGCAAGAAATTGAAATGCATTTTTGACATTATCCCACTCACACCCCATAGCTAATCCAGAACTAAGTCTCACAGACTTTACTTCCCAAATCATTCTTAATTATTCACTTATCTTTACCTTCACTGCCACCACCCTAATACAAACCAACATCATCACTTGACTGAATTTCACAACTTTCTAAATTTTTCCTATCATATTCACTGTCACCACCTTTCTAGCAATTTCCAGTTGCTGCCAAAAATTGTAATGCTAACCTTATCAGTGGCTCCTCTTTCAATTTAATATCTTTCACTGTTTTCCTATTGCTCTTAGGTTAAAGTTAAAAGTCCTTAACATTTTGACATTTCCACAAATCTCTCTGTGCTTCACTCATTTTTTCAAAAAAATTTTTTTTCTACACTTCTCTATCTTCCTGTACTTCAACTCCACGGGACTTTATCAGGCCTTTCTGCCTGCCATATTCCCTAACAACACAAGGACTTTGTACATACTATCCTTTGTTTTATTGAACATTTTATCCCATGGTCCTTCAAGTCTTTCAGCAGAACTCAGGTAAAATTCCTTTCTAATATTCCTCACTTCTTCCTAAAATCCATTTAGTTTGTAGTTTGTATTTGTGTTGTCATTACTGCCTGGAGTTTTTGTCTAGAGTCTAGAATCTACCTTTATAAAAGTATATTTACTTTTATTCACCAGGCATATTTCCAATGCCTAGTGAATAATTGTTGAATAAGTGACTGAGTGGATACTTTATCAGTACAACTGTGCTATTCACCAAATAGGAGTTTAGCTCTTTTGTTCACACCTTTCCATCTTTCCATGTCTTTTTTTTTTTCTCACCAGTGGTACAATGTTTTCACTTTCCTTAGACACTCAGTGCTCTCAAAGACTGCCTTTTATGTTTTTTCCTAGTTCTAACATTTTAATTCTCATATGACAAGCTCATTTAAAATTAGGAATCACAGGCTGCTCTGCTAAGACTCAATAGTTTTCTCCTCTCAACTGGAATTACGTTTTAAAAATGGATTAAATCTTTTAAGTAAAACAAAACAAAACAAAACAAAACAAAATCTTTATTATGGGGTTTCTTCTATTAGTCAACCAAGTGAAAAAGGGCTCTGAAGCAGAGGTCTACCAAAGAGACAGTCTTTTCCTTACTCTACTACTGTGAGACCCATTTTTTGTTTATAGTATATATATAAGCTCATTTTGTAATTGTCTAGAAAATACTTGACACCATTTTTAAACTGAAGTTTAAATAAAAATTTAATTTTGCTTATATATCAGAGCTGAGAACGACATAAATATTCTCCATTTCCACATAATGTAATACACTTTTTTCACATTTTAACTAACTTTAATTGTAATTATTGTTGAAGTGGTTATTGTCAAAAGTGTATATAAATTATGTCAATAGCCTATTTATAGGTATATATATTCAGATAGTACATAACTGATTTTATAATATCTCTGTTAATAGTGAGAACAAATTTTCGTAACATGCCTTTCTCCCTGGTATCCCAAAGATGAATAACTTATTTTGAAAACAATAGACCCAGTAGCACTGGAGATGACAAATTCATCCTGGTTTCCATGACTTGTAGGAGGCTGTACATTGCATTCATTGGGAAATATAATTTCTTCATTGACATAGAATTCAAAAAGAAATCCACAAGTTGGTGAGATTCTGATTGATATACAGCTGCATTAAAATGAGAGACAATGTAGTACTATTTGCCTGTCTTCCTTCAGTCACCACAGAGTAATAAAGAAAACATATTTTTTAATTGCCATTTCTTACTAGAATGTTAAAATATTAGCCACCAGATATCCATTTAAAAACCTGAAACCAGATGGTGGAAAATATCAAACTGGATCAAAGTAAAGGGGAGAACAATCTGACTAAAATGTTTTGGAGACATCTGATGCATGGAAACAGAGCATAATAAAGGCACCAAGAGAAAAAAAAGACAAGGCAGAATTCAACTCCTAAAGTCTCTAAAAACCTCAGATATATTTCAGAAAATGATGTCAAGTCAATAATTGGTAAATTCACACTATTTTCAGGGCATGGCTAGAAATCATAAGCTGTAGTTTCCAGCATCAGATGTGAAATTGCTTCTTTAAGTATAAGTGATTTTGATACTTTAAATTTCCGTGGTGGCTTTCTTTTCAAAAAGTTTTCTCAAACTGAGGTTTGTAATTACATAGTTGTTAGCAAAACCTTGCAAAGACAATAATGCCCAAGTGACATTGACCTCTTTCTCCTTCTTCTAGTTCAATTCCCTAATCTTCACCACATGCCCCCAACACTCAACAACCATTTGCAGTGGTACCTCTTTATCTGTGGTTTGCTTTGTTAGGTTTCAGTTACCCATGGTCAGCTGCATTCAGGAAATGGATGAGTATCCCTGGCCATCATAGTGAAACTTTGTCTCTATTAAAAAATATACAAAAAATTAGTCAAACATCATGGTGCATACCTGTTGTCCCAGCTACTGACTGAGGCAGGAGAATAACTTGAACCCAGGAGGTGGAGGTTATGGTGAGCTGAGATGGCACCACTGCACTCCAGCCTAGGCGACAGAGCACGACCTAACTCAAAAAAAAAAAAAAAAAAAAAAAAAAAAAAAAAAAAAAAAAAAAAAAAGAGAGAGAGAGAAAAGAAAGAAAAAAAATTGGATGAGTACAATACAGTAAGATATTGAGAGATAGAGAGACAGAGACACACGAGAGAGAGAGAGAGAGAGAGAGAGAGAGAGAGGGAATGAGCCCACATTCACATAGCTTTTATTACAGTGTATTGTTATAGTTGTTCTGTGTTATTATTAGTTTATAATTGGTTATTTGTTGTTAATCTCTTACTGTGCCATGTATGTATAGGACAAAATATAGTGTGTGTGTGTCTGTGTACATATATATTCAAATACTATATAAACTCTATAGGTAGAGTTTACAGTTGTTGGCCCAACGTAATCACTGATATCACTATTTTTCAGCCTCAAAAATGTTCTAGTTTGGATATTAATTTATATGACAATTTGCTATAGGGTATAAGAGGAGACATGTTTAACCCAGTCCTGGGGAATCAGAGGCAACCTCCCACAGAAAACCATGATAAAAAGCCTGAAGTCTGAGTAGGTAAGCACTAGGCAGAAGGAGATGTAAGAAATGCTTCCCAGACAAAGAATATAGAACATGAAAAAGCCAAGAAAGAAGATGTGCTAGCACATTGAATTAAGTAAGTATGGCTGGCTGAAGTATTATAAAAATGGGAGGAAGTGTGCAAGATGAGATAGTAAATTGGACAGGAATCAAAGACACCTTTCTGTGCCTTGAGCACATCAAGCAAGCTCTGGTCTTCAGGTCTTTGAGTCCTTTGTTACTTCTACCTAATGCATTCCTCCTCCAAAATTTTTTTTAAAAAATCAGCATGGCTCTTTCCCTCACTTTATTGTAGTCTTTGCTTAAATGTCAATTAGAGAGACCTTCCTTCACCAGTGTAAAATAACATGCCTCCTCATGATCCTCTATTCCCTCAGTTTGCCACATTTTTAATCATAGCACTTATTACTCCCTGATATATATTATCACTTCTCTTTCCCATGTATAACATAAGCTTTACAAAATAACTTTATTTCTTCTTTTCATTGCTATACCTCTTGCATCTAAACTTGTTTCTGGCATATTGCAGTCATTCCACAAATATTTGATAAATGAAGATATGAAAAGCTCTTAGAAAGGTGCATGGCAGATAATAAGCATTAAAATGTCAATTATTTTGTTGTGAAGTACAATAGGGAAGAAGAGATCATAGAAACCTATGATAGTACTTAAATATTTGAATATCACAATATCACTGACAGGAAACCTGGGTTTGAGTCTTTGCTTGAGACAACCCACAAAAAGAGGGACTTCACTACTTACTGAGATAGACTATACCATGATTACATAAAAGGTCTATCCATTCAATCATTTTTTCTTAGGTTGAGCTGAAATCTGCCTTTTTATAACTATTTCCCCCAACTTAGAAAAAAAAAAAAAGTAAATCGTTTCTGAAGAGTTAGTCTTCTATGATGCTTTTTTTTAGACAGAAAAATAACAACTCAATTCATTGAATCTTATGTCATGATTTATGGTATGCTTTTAAAATATTCAGACAAAATGTTGTAGATATCAACAGACTGATAGGTATGTTCTAATGAGCATCTTTGGTCTCTGGGTATCAATACTAATGCAATTTATTATTATATGAGCACGATTATTTACTGTTGTAAATAATATTATGACAAACATACAGATGCATGTGTCTTTATAGTAGAATAATTTATATTCATTTGGTTATATACCCAATAATGGGATGGCTGGGTCAAATGGTAATTCTGTTTTAAGTTTTTTGAGAAATTGCCAAACAGCTTTCCATAATGGCTGAACTAATTACATTCCCACAAGCAGTGCATAAGTCTTCCATTTTCTTTGCCAGCATCTGTTATTTTTTGAGTTCTTAATAATAGCCATTCTGACTGTTGTGAAATATTATCTTATTGTAGTTCTGATTTGCATTTCTCTAACAATTACTGATGTTGATAATTTTTTATATGCTTGTTGGCTGCATGTGTGTCTTCTTTTGAAAAGTATTCATTTCCTTTGCCCACTTTTTAATGGGATTGCTTATCTTTTTCTTGTAAATTTGTTTAAATTTTTTACAGATTATGGATATTAGAACTTGGTCACATGCATAGTTTGCACATATCTTCTCCCATTCTGTAAGTTGTCTGTTTACTCTGTTGATAGCTTATTTTGCTTTGCAGAAACCCTTTATTTTAGTTAGATTCCATTGGTCATTTTTTGTTTTTGTTGTAATTGCTTTTGGCATCTTTGACATGAAGTCTTTCCCAGGTCCTATGTCCAGAATGGTATTCCATGGGTTATTGTTCAAGGTTTTTATAGTTTTAGGTTTTATATTTAAGACTTCGATCCATTTTGAGTTAATTTTTGTATATTGTGTAAAAAGGGCATCCAGTGTCAAATTTCTGCATATGGCTAGCCAGTTATCCCAGCACCATTTATTGAATATGGAGTTTTTTCTTCTTGCTTGTTTTTGTTAATTTTGTTGAATATCACAGAGTTGCAGGTGTGCAGCATTATATCTAGGTTCTCTATTCTGTTCCATTGGTATGCATGTCTGTTTTTGTGCCAGGAGCATGCTTTTTTTGTTACTGTAGTCTTGTATTATAGCTTAAAGTTAGATAATGTAATGCTTCCAACTTTCTTCTTTTTGCATAAGATTACCTTTACTATGTGGATTTTTCTTTGGTTCCAAATAAATTTTAACGTATTTTTTTCTAATTCCGTGAAGAATGTCATAGATAGTTTTATGGGAATAGCATTGAATCTGTAAATTGCTTTGGGCAGTATGGCCGTTTTAACAATATTGATTCTTCTTATCCAAGGACATAGGATGTTTTTCCATTTCTTTATGTTGCCTCTGATTTCTTTGAACAGTGTTTTACTTCTTGTTGTAGAAATCTTTTACCTCCCTGGTTCACTGTATTCCTAGATATTTTATTATTTTGTGACTTGTGAATGGGATTGCATTCTTGATTTAGCTCCTATTTTCTATGTTGTTGGTGTATAGGAACGGTACTGGTTTTTATATATGTATTTTGTACGCTGAAACATTGCCAAGGCTGTATATCAAATCAAGTAACTTTTGGACAGATACTCTGGGGTTTCCTAGGCATAGAATCATATCTTCCATAAGCAAGCATAGTTTGACTTCCTCTCTTTCTATTTCAATGCCTTTTATTTCTTTCTCTTGCCTGATGGCTCTAGTTAGGACTTCCAGTACTATGTTGAATAGAAGTGGTGAGAGAAAGCGTTCTTGTCTTGTTTTCGTTTTCAAGGAGAATGCTTCCAGCTTTTGCCCATTCAATATGATGGTGGTGGTGGATTTTTCATAGATGGTGCTTATTATTTTCAAGTATGTTATGTTAATGCCTACTTTGTTGAGAGTTTTTAACATAAAACGACGTTCAAGTTTATTGAAAGTCTTTTCTGCATCTATTGAGATGATCATAAGACTTTTGTTTTTAGTTCTTTTGATGAATATAAATGTTATGATGAATAACATTTATTGATGTGTGTATGTTGAGCCAAACTTGCATCCCAGGTAAAAAGGCCTTCTTGACTATAGTGTATTAGTTTTTTTTATGTGCTGCTAGGTTCAGTTTGCTAGTATTTTGGTGAGTATTTTTGCATATATGTTCATCAAAGATATTGACTTGAAGTTTTTGTTTTGTTTTGACTCTGCCAGGTTTTAATATCAAGATGATGCTGGCCTCATAGAATGAGTTAGGGAGAAGTCCTCTCCTAAATTTTTGGAAATACTTTCAGTAGGAGTGGCACTAGCTCTTTCTTATACATTTGGTACAATTTGGCTGGGAATCCATCTGGATCTGGGCTTTTTCTGGTTGGCAGGCTTTTTTATTACTGATTCAACTTTAGAACTCATTATTGGTTTATTCAGGCATTCAATCTCTTCCTGTTTCAATTTGGAAAGGTTGTATGTTTCCAGGAATGTATCCATTTCTTCTAGCTTGGGCAGTATTTTTATCTTGTATTCATGGAGGTGTTCATAATAACCTCTGAAAGATTTTTGTGATTCTGTGGAGTTGGTAGTAATGTTTCCTTTGTCACTTCTGATTGTGTTTATTTGAATCTTCTCCATTTTTTCTTTATTGCTTTAGCTAGAAGTCTACCTTATTAATTCTTCCAAAGAACCAGTTCCTGGATTCATTGATATTTTGTATGACTTTTGGCAACTCAATTTTCTTCAGTTCGTCTCTGAGTTTGGTTATTTACTGTCTTCTGCTAGGGATTAGTTTGCCCTTGTCTCTAGTTTCTGTGTGTGTGATGTTAAGTTGTTCATTTCAGATCTTTCTGACTTTTAAATGTGGGCATTTAGTGTAATAAACTTTCCTCTTAACATTGCTTTGGCTGAGTCCCAGATATACTGATATGTTATTTTCACAGACTTTCTTCATTTATTTCTTAATTTCCTTATTTAACCAGCAGCTATTTAGCACCAGGTTATTTATTTTTAAATTATTTGTATGGTTTCGAGTGATTTTCTTAGCATTGATTTTTGGGTTTTATCATACTATGTGCTAAGAGTGTGGTTGGTATGATTTTTTTTTTTAATTTTCTAAGAATTGTTTTATGCACAATTGTGTGGTAGATTTTAGAGTATGTGCCATGTGCAGATAAGAAGAATGTATATTCTGCTGTATTGGGATAGAGTTCTGTAGATATCTCTTAGGTCCCTTTCGTCAAGAGTTGAGTTAAAGGCTCAAATATCTTTGTTAGTATTCTGCCTGGATGATCTGTTTAATACTGTCATTGGAGTATTAAAGTCTCTGACTCTTACTGTATGCTTATGTATATTGCTTCATAGGCCTCTAAGAATTTGATTTATAAATCTGGGTGCTCCTTTGCTGGGTGCATATACATTTAGAATAGTTAGATCATGTTGAATTCAGTCCTTTAGCATTATGTAATATCATTCTTTCTCTTTTTTGATGCTTGTTAAAGTCTGTTTTGTCTGAAATTACAGTTGCCACCCCCTTTTTTCTTTTTCAGGGGATTGGCTGTGGTATAAGGTGGATTCAGTCAACTGGCTTCATTTTTGAAATATTTTAGGGGGTCAAGGTTTAGTTTAGGACTCCTAGACTGCATGCTCTAATCCTGGGAGGCTAGTATTGAGCCCCCAGCTTTGCTTTCTGGCTACTCAAGGTTAAGAACCTACCATGCTGGAGAGCCCAAGGTGTTCCCAGACTGCTGGTCACAACATTCTGACTGATGATGTCAGCTAAATAACTTCATAGGGCAGTGGTAGTGGGATCTGTCCTTGTTTGCACATGCCATTAACAGTCACAGTGTGGTAAGGTACACACTCATTGGCAGCAGCAAGGTGCTGGTGGGTGCAGGGGTGCTAGCCTCTTTGTGGGCATTCACGGCAGCAGCAGTGACAGCATGGCACAAGAAAGTGATGAGCCTAGCTGGCATCTGTGTGTGTGTTTATGCTGACATTGGTGTTAGGATGGGAATGGTGCACTGGCAGGCACTGAACCCTGTCAGCCCTCTGTGTGCATGTTCACATAGGTGGCAGTGGCCACTCCAACAAAACATTATTTAAAGTAAATTCAATTGTCCAAACCATGGCTTAATACTTTTAGAACACAAGGTTTTTATTCATTTGAAATTATTACGACATTTAAATACGCTGTGTATCCAGTTAAAACAAAAGTTTTATTAAACAAAATAATTCAGAGAAACTTTTCTACAATTTTTAGAATTCACTTTTTTCATTTTGATTTTTTTGTGTATTTTCTTAACTTTTTATTTTGAAGTAGTTATAGATTCACAGGAAGTGAGAAAAACAGTAAATAGATATTCTATGCAGCCTTCATCTAGTTCCCACAATGGTCACATCTTAGGTACTCATATTATAATATCAAAATTATAAATTGATATTGGTTGCATGTCATATTATTACATGTAAGCATCATCAGGATCTTTTATACACTCCCTTATAGTTGCACACTCCCATGACCCAACCCCCAAACCCCTGCTCACTACTATGTTAACTCCTGATGACCACTAATAAATTTTTCATATCTATAATTTCACCATTTAAAAAATAATATATAAATAGGATTATACAATTTGTGACATTTTGAGATGGGTTTTTGTACACTAAGTGTAATATATTTGAGATACATATAGTTGTTGTGTGTTATCAGTAATGTGTACTTTTTTATTGCTGAGTAGTATCTCATGTTATGGATGTACCACAGTTTTACTCTTTACCTACTGTACAATGTTTTGTTTGTTTTCAGTTTGAGCTATTGCTAATAAAGTTGATATGAACATTTATGCTCAAGTATTGTGTGTACATAAGTTAAAATAATTTTTTTTCTGGGATAATTGCCCAGTAGATTGCTATGTATCATGATAAGTCCACA